TCAAAGGAAAAGCCGTTTTTCCGCTAAAAAGGGTATTGCCGTTAGCGATAGACCCCAGAAACGTCATATTTCCGGAACCAGCGTGGCGAGAGTAGGGTTGATGTAGCACTCTCGTTCCGACTGAACCGCTGTGCGTTGTGCAACGCGAGATAACCTGCCCCACATGGATCACATTGCCTGGCGCGGTTTCCTCCGAGGTCCATAGCGGCACTACGACCTACCTTTTTCCTACCTTTTTCCTACTACCTTTTTCTACCTTTTGCTACCTTTTTCCAAGCCCCGAGGTAAGCCACGATGCACACCGCTGACTATAACAGAAGGCAGGCCATCCGTAGTGTTATCCAGGGACATGCGTGGAGGGTGCCAACTAGCGCGTGATGCGTACTTTGCAATGACTCATTGCTAGGCTTAGCGTGCCGGCTCCTTGCCATTTGAAACTTAGCAGAGCAACGCGGGACGTTGGCTGTCGTGACTTCCGCGACGGTGGCTTTGACGTGGAAAGCTTCCTTATCCACGCGCTGGTCTGTTGTGACGTCACTGTTTTATATTCTCAATGAGGGTGTGAGTGGGGAAGCAATGACGTCAGAACATTATGACGTATTCTATCACATTTCGTAGAACCTACATATGGCTGAGTCAGTTATCTTTGATGGCGACGCGGTGGTGGAACGCGTATGGCTCGTTCACGCTCTCTCGGCTCGTAAAGAATACTACTGGAAACTCTCTGAGACGAAGGCAAATGTGAGATGGTGTATTCGTTTCTTGTTAGATGCCAAGTTCAAGTGAACCTATGTGGTTTTGAAAGTTCGGCCTTTCAGAAAATAGATCGCCGCCATCCGAAGTGCTGTCAAGCTTTTGACACGCTGCAAGCAATTACCGACAGCAAGCTTTTCACTAAAGCTTTGGAAAGCTCATCATTGTCACGCTGCACCGGAGGTGTAGTTCCCACTTACTTGGAGGAGGAAGGGTTCGTGCTCCAGTCCTTCAACTCTGGGAGCATAGTGTGTCAAATCCGGAGAGAATCCCGCTTTTTATGTTACGTGTTATGGGATGCGTTATGGGAGCGTGTTATGGGATGGCTCTAGCCATTGCTGTCCCAACGTACTTGGTGGGGAGGGGCGGGGGTCGGGGGCCGCAGACCTAAAGCCCTGTTTGGTAACAGCTAGCTTATTTACCTGGATCTCAAGGCAATATTTGCACGCAAGATGATATATAATATCCTCAACAGCTGATTGAAACGGCCCTTTTTATCGGACACTGAACAAAAGACGGGATTCAGGAACACTTTTTGGCCGGGGCACATCCGAATTGGGCGAAGAGGGGAGAAGCTTTTGAGCTTTAAAATGGAAACATGTTGGGACATCTTAACCACGTGGGCTGGCAGACAAACTTGGCACGGATGTCAATGATAGACGCTTGGGAACAGTTAAATCCTGCTCCAAATGTTTTTACTCGTAATCGTGTCGCTGCCCCCAAAGCCAAGTAATCTTATTAGAAGGTACCGTTTTAACCAGGAACGTGAAAACTGAGTGAGCCAGAATTGGCTGAAACCCCAACTAAGTACAAATACCGATGATCAAAGCACAAGAAAAATGGATACATGATTACGAAACTAACTGCAACATTGGCAATAGCTACATCGCAATACAAATTGATTTATTTTCCGGGCTTCTGCGGGTGTCATGATTAAGCTGTCGAGAGAGGACACAGACAGCTGGTTTCTTAAGTTATATATATATATATATATATATATATATATATATATGTATATGTATGCATATATATAAATATATATATGTATGCATATATATATATATATATGCATATGTATGCATATATATATATATATATATATATATATATATATATATATATATATATATATATATATATATATATATATATATATTTAGTTATATGCACTTGATCAAAACTTCCTTTCAGCCTTTGTAAGGGCCCCGGTTCTTCTAAGCGGGGCCACCTCTCGGGCTGTCGGGCTGCTTGTGTTCTTCGTCGGACCTCCGTTTTATAACAGCCAGTGATGACCTCCCTCAGACCATCGGGAGTCCTATGTCGACCCATAGGGCCCGATGCGTGCCATCTAGGATATCCTAGGGAGCAAATTTGGTCCCCTGCATGCCTTCATGGTGCTCCTTGTGAGTTGATGGAATACACCCCCTGTCATATGTGTTCTCCCGTTTGCAGCAGGAAGCCTCTTTGATATTCCAGGAGGTAAAATATATGTTTGACCCCCTTGCCACCCTAGTGATGTAGCCCCAGGTCGCACAATGCCACGTGACTTACAACAGAATCCTTCGATCTTCGCGAACAATGTGTTCAGATAGCCATTGACGTTCTTAAAACGCCAAGGATAACATCTGATACCGCCAAGAACTAGTGCGGGACTCAAAGTAGGCCAAAGTTGTGAGTAGCGATTTGCATTCTGAATTTGTTCCCTTGTCATGCGAAGTTTTATCATGGACGGCAAGTGAAACCAGCTGACTGAGCCCGTGCAGCCATGTGGAGGGCAGTAATTTCGCAGTCGGACATGGTTTGCAAGCCACCGGGTCTGGTGCACCCTTCGAGCCAAACAAGCCCCCAGGCAACGAACCCCACTCACCACGCATGCGCGCACTGTATGCATGGTGTTCTTGTGAGGGAGATGTAGCTGTTGCTGAAGTGTTATTTACGCTTATCTCACAGGATGCAAATAAGCCGGGATGGCGGGATGTGAATGCTGCCACTATCCTTTGGTTTGCATCGGTCAGCTTTAAATGGCTCAACATGAGCGTCCCTCGCCCACCCTTAAGGTAGAGATGTTTCCACCCTAGGGTCTGATCTTGATATGATCGACCCAACTAAAAAATAAGTAACCAACTCACAGACAAGTCGAGGCTCTACTTCTCAGAACTGATGCTGGAAATACACGTGCAAAGTCTACTCACCTATCAAATAATACGAAGCTAGGCGTTATTTGCAGACAAATGGCAACCAGCAACCGAGAGAAAATGGAGTAGCTGCTGAATCAGCATCAGAGTATTCACGAGTAATCGCTCCCGGACGTCAGATTACATCTAAGGTTAGTGCAAACGCTGGGAAAATCGGGCTTTAGTCGAGAGCGCACTTCACGGAATGTATTTACAGGATTCGGTCCTGCTAGTCCAGACCTAGTCCGCCCGCTAAAACGCTTGTCCTGGATTTCTTAATCCAGTCCAGTCCGATCCAACTTACCAACATGTTTTCTGAAGTGAATCCGTGCCAATCCGCTTCCAAATTAAGCACACTTCAAAATTCTGACAGAAAATTTGGCTCGCTCAAGTACATTTAATTTTATTTATGTGCTAATCTTTCCTTGGAAAAATGTGCCATAAGGTGTTATACGCCAGTGAGCGCTAAGATACCTAACTCAGTATGCTGCCTATTCATGATGCAGTTTTGCATGAGAGTCAGAACATACAAGGCTCATTATATTATTAATAATACCACAATTATCTTGACTCAGAATTCACATGCACCACTGGATGGCATGGGATAAAACCGCTTTTGGCTGTAATAAACTGAATTCATGAGCACATTATCTAACAACTTTACACTTCAGGCTAGATGCAACATCTATCCACGTGCCACGCGACATTGTCAGCAGTATTCAGGCCACCAGAGCAGGCTGACGCCCATCTAGTACGCTCTGAATAAATAAAGCGACTATCTCACCTCATATATATGTCAATCCACGTGCGTGTGTGTCCGTTCTCGGACATTCCAACTAGTGAAACAATCTCAACTACGACAGTCATTGCTGGCTGGATTGCCTGCTGCGTCAAAATTGAAATCAACGCGCGCGACCGTCCACTGGTGGGTGCCTGCGGTACCACTTCTTTACTAAAAAAATGCGTTCTTTCCGAGCCTCACTGTTTAAAAGAATGTTTCACCTTAAATATATCGCAGCAAGCATCCGATTTGATGAAACAAGCGCACTTATAGCTTTAAGCATACTCTGTAGGTGAAAAATTCCGTAGTCGGCACAATTCTGTCTAGTAAATAGCCTCTTCAATGCGTCATAGTTTGATTGCGTCATCGTACCTTGCTTATCATTGACTGAGAGCCAATTGACGGTCGTTATATCTAAAAATCGCGCCCACGAACGCCAAATATAAACGATTCGCCAACTATCTTCTTCTTGGTCTTGATTGCCGCGTGACTCATGTAATAACAATATTTAAATGGTGTTATTTCGACGTCATGATTGCCAGCGTGACTTTGAAATATTTGCCCTGATATAACCTTTCCGATTTTCGCGGGCGTGTGGCTCGGAAACTAGAGGAGTTTGAAAACGCCAAGTTTTTTCGCCAAACTCGCCAAACTTGACACCATATCCTTTTTCTATGGATTGTCTGAGAGGTCTGGTGTCGGAGACTGATGCGCAGAACACGCGGGATAGGACCTAAGCATGCCTTCGGCGCGGCGGTTGCGTCTGTGCCACGGAGATGTGCCAGTGCGTCGCCGAGGCTGTGTAGGCTCGAGTCGAGCTGTGCCAGACTCGAAATGGCGGATGTGACGTGACGGTACGCGGCGTGAGCGCGTCGCGCGTGTTTCATTGAAGTGTGTGTTAGGCATGATATATGATGGATGCACCATCAAACTCGGTGATGCTTTTTGGACCACGTTGCGACGACAACCCAATCGGCAATCGCAGTCCATGCTGTATTATTCGACGTTGGTCGTAAAACACAAACACACACAAGCATCCATGCACACTTCCCGCACCTAGCTAATATGTTGACCCCAGTGCATCCCACGCGTCCAGAAAGCTCTTGATCTGAAGGCAATTATTGGAATTGCCGCAAGTTCTAGCACTGGCCATGTCAGCGGCCATTACTTTAGTGAGGGCCATATCCGCCGTATCTGTAACCGCCATAGCGGCCATAACCGGGGCGGCCGCCATAACCACCGTAGCCGCCGTAGCCGCTGCGGGCCGCCGTAACTGCTGTAGCTGCCATAACCACCGTAGCCGCCGTAGCCGCTGCGGCCGCCGTAACTGCTGGAGCCGCCATAACCACCGTAGCCGCCGTAGCCGCTGCGGCCGCCGTAACTGCTGTAGCTGCCATAACCACCGTAGCCGCCGTAGCCGCTGCGGCCGCCGTAACTGCTGGAGCCGCCATAACCACCGTAGCCGCCGTAGCCGCTGCGGCCGCCGTAACTGCTGTAGCTGCCATAACCACCGTAGCCGCCGTATCGACCGGGGCTGCGGTATCCACCGTAGCCGCCATAGCGGCCGTAGCTGCCGTCATAACCTCTGTAGCCGCCGGAACCGCCATACCCGCCGTAGCCAAGGCTTCTATCATAGCCGCCATAGCCGCCATAGTTGCCGCCGTAACCTCCGTATCCGCCATAGCCCACGCGGCCGCCGTAACCGCCGTAGCCGCCGTAGCCGCCGTGGCTACCGCCATAACCTCCGTAGCCATAGTCGCCGGCAACGGCGATAGCCACGAGGCAGGACAGAATCACCAGCTGAAAACAGACTGCACATCAACAGTTGTCTCACGCTTTGCTGCTGGACGTCTTGAGCTACACCAGAACTACAAAGGAGATAGTGTCACTACCAGTGTCAGCCTAAGTCATGTTGCAGGGATAATTTACATGGGTGATGACCTATAGCAGTGTCAGCTCACACCGACAGTATGCTCTTCGACTGTTGGCAACAGTCAGCCATGCCAGCCGCTACCGGCTCAGCACAGCAACGCGGCGGATCAGATCACAGCCCTGCCGTTCGCTCGCTGCTGGGTGGCAGAGGGACCACAAGTCGCCGACACGCTGCATTAAACGCTGTACCCATTCGAAAGTACGCACCTTCATGGCGGCGGATGTGTTGCAGGCTGGAGTGGGCTGCGGTGAATGAGTTTCTGAATTACTACGGTAGCCTTAAATAGGTGATGTGACCACGCCTCTCTTCACCCTGTGAGAGCGAGTGCACTTATGTGCCTGCTTCCGGCCACGCCCTGCCTGCAGCCCGGACTTCTGGATTAAGCGCGTCATAGATAGGTAAAATGTGGGCCCGACTTTCCTCCTCCGTCTCCGTAGCGCAAAAGCAGACAATGTAATTCACCGTGAAAGCACCGATGTTTCTTTGTTAGCCTCGCTCAACTGTGGCGAAAGCTTGTCGAGACTACGATTTTAATACAATCAAGAGTGGAATTTTGACAAGCTGGCGCGGCAATGGTCTAAGGCATGCGTACAAAGCACGAATGCCGTTGGTACCATCAATTCAACACACTTCTAATGTGTCAATGTGGGCACTTCATGTATTTGGCAAATCCGCTGTTTGCGAATTTATCAGCGGATCGGTTTGGATCCGATCAGGATATAATACTTATGGTACAATATATCAGTGGACTTACGGAATTCTGCAGTAGTTTTTGTACTTTTGTGCTATCTGAAAATTCCGCCTGTTTTTGCCATCTTTTGTGGCGTAAGCTGCTAACTTTGTGCTATATCATGTCGCCTTTGTACCAATTCTGGTACATTTTTTGTTGGCTAGTATAACCTTGCCAACTCGCGTAATTTATGATGGAAATAGTAGAATGATCCCGGCTACTGTATGATAAACCTGAACCGCAACCCCCGCGCCGAGTATGATGCATTGGCATGTTGACTGCGATGCTGTTACATCGCATGTTGTAGCATACTTAAAATCACTGTGGATCAAGCATGCGGTGCTATAGCGGCGCGTACATAATCCACGGTGATTTTAAGTGCGCGACTTCGTGCCTCTCCGATTTTGGAATGCTGTTCGTTTATCCATGCATGAATTTATGATGGCTAGGGGCGCATCCAGAGTCGTGATGAGGGGATGGGGATGCAGGGTTGACGAAGGCCGCATCAGACTCCATACCAGTCCGCGCTATGAAAAACTGCGAATCGGGATGAGGATTAAGTTGGGTCATTTTCGGTGGATCTAGTAGTTTTGAAATTTACATGTGCACTATTTCCGGATATTCTAACACAGTGTTCAAACCACACATATGATTCATGGTGGTGAAAGGGCTCCCCCAAAACCGGGGTTGTTGGGGCTGGATTTGCCCCAACTGATTTCCAGGGTGCAAGGTTTTGTTCGTTTTATCCTTGTTTCTAACTTCTTTCACTGGAACAAACGCCAGCAGAGTTCCCGACAGACACAATTCTCTTTGTACTTTTTAAAGATGATAATTGCCACAAGGAAAGGGGTGTTAAATGACGTTGTGGAATAAACCCCTGGCGCTATTCATTTCACAGTGGTTAAGTAACCTGTTTCCAACAGTTAGTGCTCAGAGGTCCGTCAGTTTTTTTTTTACTGGGTTCCGCACAGATGTTGATGGCCACGTGATCGCTGTCTGCAGATCGAAATGGGGCAAGTAATTTGTTAACCATGACTAGCCCATGTTCGTCTGGGAGCGTTCAACTTTCTGTCGGAACCGATTAGTGATGCAAAGTGTGTAGGATAGTTATGAACATGATTTTTCGCAAGTGTTCAAAACCTAATCCAATGCGATGGTTCAATCCTTTTTAGAGATGCCGTTTCGTGGAAGTTATGTCGCCAAAAGTTCAATCTAAAGTCTAAGGTTAGACCCAAGGCGATATATGCCAGGTGGAACAGTCCCGACTACGCACTCCTCAGCAAAGATCTTTATGTGACGTCACCTGGGCTGCACCTTTAAAACTGGGACGGCCGCACGCGTGGTAACAGGCACGAGAGATCGCACGTATCACAACACGCTTGGTGGGTGGGGTGACTTGTAAGATCAAAGTAACTCTGAATAAATAAAAAAACCTTGCACTTAAGCCTAACTTTGAGGATAATTCGAGAGCTGAGGCGGTAATAAAGGACCCAGGAAGCAAACTAGTCGAGGACGATTCGTCGCGTTTTGCAAAAAGGAGCGCTCGGCATAAGGACTTATTTATTGCTTCGGAAGCACCAGATGGACTCAAAGCCGTGCCCCCTAGTTACCAGCTTATTTCGTGCATCACAAGTGCCATCCCCCGGAGAACTCACCCCAAGCCAGTCCACGGAACTTCTGGCCGCCAGCTGGCAGATCACCCGACGTGATAAATTGGCTACAAAGGTGTAGCCTGCGCCGGTGCATCGGAACAAGTGCGGGCGTATCTCCCATCTCCCTGGCTGAGATATCTCCCAGGACCGGTTAGGTATGACAGCGCAAGGAGCATATCAGGCGCCCCAAGTTCATTGGCCGGGGCCCCCGACCCGGAACTGGCCAGGCACATTCGCGCGGCTCCATCTAACGGGAACAGTCCAGTCAACGCACGATGGGGCTTAGTCATTCCCCAGAGCTAGACCCCGACGACTGCTAGTTTCATGATGCAAAGAATGACACGCTGCTTTGTTCCACCTTTGCCCAGCAAATGCTGGATAAGTCTTGGTTGATCCTAAAACCAAACGCAAACTAAGAGCGCATCACAATCCACGCTCATAAGCTTTTGGCTATTCATATTTATTGCAGCGGATGAATTAACAACGAAATTCTTCGTTTGACAACAGGCTTCCGTTATACTATTGCCGACCGCGCAATGTCATCTCACTAATACAGAAGCAGGATCAGATGCACTCCAGCGGGTCCATAGTCTCCATCACCGGCTGCGGAACCCGGAGCGCCGCATGGATGATGCCAGTATCGAGCTGGAACTTGGAAGCCACTTATCCACCTTGATAGCGTGCTGTTTGAAGGCAGGGGCGTTCATGACATGCTGGGCGAATACACAGATCTTCCGGCTGATAGAGCGTGGTGCGACGGCATTGGCGACATCAAATCCCTCCATTGACCCTCGGCCAGTCGATGCTGACTGAGCCGCCGAGTTGAGTGACTGAGTTGTTGCTTGCTGAAGATTCCCTCGTACTGGACGTGCCGCAGATTCGGAGCATTCCGCAGGAACTGGCACACCTGGCGCAGTGGGCGAGCGATCCCCGAGGCCAGTCCAGACGGTTAGTTCGGTGCTGGGCATGCGACTTCATCCGCCGAAAATCAGACGAACTTGCTCGCGTCCCGGCGATAGATTTAAGCCTGAGGATGGCAAAAGCTCCAACAGTGAACAATGCACAGCGCGGAAGCCTGTCAGGGACCCGAACAGTATGCAGCTTTTTCCACCTACCATATCTGTTATTTGTTGTTAAATATCCAGCACATGCACCAGAGGCGTAAACTTTAAGAACATCCAGACCTACTGAGCTGACACAAAATGAGGCTAACTGAAAGCTGAAAACACATTGTGCTGTTGCCTCGACTAACGCAAGTCCATTTGGCATTCGAGATCCCGTCAATATGCCTATTCAGCAAGTGTTCCCTGACCGACTCGGGGCCCCTTGTCGACACAAGACCTCCTGCTTGGCACTGGTCCACTCTTTCAGAGACTCCGACCGATGCAAATAGTGGTCCCAGCCTTGCTCGTGCTTCGCAAACGGACAACCAGAGCTCAGAACAACTTGGAGCCGACTATTCGGTGTTGGCGGTCTCTGGTCGAAAAAGAGGCCCGAACCGTTTCGCGGATCCCCATTCGATACAGAGTCCCCCTGACTGGCCTTTTCGGTCACGGCCCAACAGACGGGGGCGTCCTTATTTTGACCTACGGCGTGTCCCTCAGGCCCTTCGGCCCCTTTAGCCTTGCAATCGGGCCTTTGATCTTTGGTTCCGAGGGGCCTTTGGCCCTTCTTCGAACCTTCTGAAGCAAGGCCCGTGACGGACTGGGGACCACATGTCGACAGATGGACCCCTGTTAGACACCGTGGACCCGTGACCGACACAGGGAGCCAATCATTGTTTCAGCGGCCCATACCAATACAAATCGTCGGGATAGGACATAACACATAATACAATACAAGATACAAGATAATACAATACAAGGGATAATACAAGGACACCTCGCCCTTGCTTGGAAATGGGATACCAGGGTTCAGACCGACACGGAGACAACTGTTCGGTGTTGGTGTTCTCTGGCAAGCATAGACGCCCGCAATGTTACAGGAGCTGCTCAATCGGTTGAAAAGGACCTTTGTCCGATATTACAGGTCACAGCCCCACAGGCCGCAATCTTTTGTGTAACATACAGCAAGCTATTCGGGCCATAGGCGTGGGAACGTTTCAAAAAGTGTGTGGGGGGGGGCAAGCTCAGGTTGTACTTAAGGAACTTGTTCTGGAAAGCAAGCCCGATGATCGGCGGGGGGGGGGGGCTAGGGATGGAGGTTGTTATCGCTCTTTATTCAAATGTCATGGCTGCTATGCTATGCTGCTATGCTATGCTATGCTATGCTATGATAATGCATTGCCCATCATGCAACGTATACGACTTGAACTGCTTTTGTGTGTAGGCAGGGGCGTAACCAGAGCCTTGCCAAATGTCATGGCTGCTCATAGATAAGCATCTAGAGCTGTTCATCACTGGTGCACAATCTTGCCTATTCGACTCATCTGTCATTTGGCAAATAAGGCTACCCAGCTTCCCTAGATTCTTCATCCTTTTAACGTTGCCTTTCCCTGGGAGGCGAAATTCCACGAGCGGGTAGGCATTTTGGGTCATTAAGGAAGCATCTGCCTGCACAGTGTAGATGCCGAAATACGGTCTGGATATAGGATGGTGAGAATTTTGAAAGTGGATCGATGGTTATCAGTGCGACAGATTTTGCACGCACCTTCATTTCGCTGACTGCTTTTCAAGAGACAGGACTTGTCGGAACATTTTAGGCGGAAATAAATTCGGCAGCCTGAAACTGCTAGAAACATTGTGACAAAAGCCATACAACTGGGGATTCTCTTTTAAGAATCAAGCCACATAATGCCGCCCACTTGCCATATGTTTCTTATCTAGGCCCTGTTCCTGTC